AGCAATTTAATAACTAATGGACTCTGTTATCTCCAAAACAAAGATAAAGAAGTTTTTTGAAGGACTTGAACATGAAAAACAAGAAAAGTGATTCTTTTACACATTAGCTATGGAAGAAAAAGGTGTTATTGTAATTGTCCTAGTTAAATATGACAAAATTTTGAAGAATTGCACTCCTTTGTCATAGGCAGCTGGGGATATCATAACCTTTGGGTCATGCAGCATAAGTAAAACAATCCAGATCATATATTCTGACCATTCTCAAACCATTATTCCTTTTCCAAGTTATTATATAATTGTTTCTAAAAGCATTTTAACTTCAAGATCTCGTGCAGGCTTAATAAATCAGGTACAATCAATTTTGACATTAGTATTGAAACAAGAGGATGAAAGATATTTTTTTTTAGAATAAGCATTCAACAATCAAGAACGAATTGCATCTCTGACAAAAGGAATTCAAAATTAGAGAGCAAAAAGTGAAGGAGATTTATTTTCTTCAAAAATTCAACAAACATCAAATCATCAACTACGAATTAAATCTTAACTCTGTCCAACGCTTGCATATATAGGGCCTATTTGAGCCCCATTTTTTCACCCAAAAAATCGATTTTTTGACCGTTATTTCACTATTCCAACCGTATAGGTGGACCCCACTTTTCTCCTAACGGTCAAAAAATCAATTCTCAAAATCATTCCCAAACAGGCTCGTATTAACTTTATAGTGATAACATATTGCATGAAATAAAAAAGGTTCATCTCATAGACCAATGAAATAAGACAATTAACACATGGTCAATTGTAATGTCATTTTTCTTCTTTTAATGAACAGAATGAAACAATAAGAAATTTCACAGGCCGGAGTTTTGGTGAAATAGCATGTCACCTGGCTTTTTGGGGCAAAAAAAAAAAAGGTAAAAAATGCAAATAGTCCTGTCGGAATTTGTAATTCTATGTTCAAGTAAAAAATTCAATACCTTACGCCACCAGTTCCGAGCACTCTGATCGCCTTCCACCAACTTCAGAGCAAGCCCTTCAACACCTAAAGTAACCCAACTACTTGTTTTTTGTGCATCCAGCTGATCCTTCGAGCGAACAAATGAAACATCATTCCCTTGCCATTGCCCCACAAAAGCACTCATTGTTACTGCTTCGTTTGATGCTGAATTAACGTTCCCATTTTCACTTTCTTCTGATTCTACTTGCTCCACTTGCTCTTCCAAAGAAAATATTTCCACGGGCTCATTAGTCGCATTCCACTTACAAACCATATTAAAACTGCCCCTCTGAGGTAACTTCAAAATGCGATTATCACCACTTTCCCATATTAAGTTCTTGCCCTTCCCTACCATCACAAATTTATACTCGATAAGCTCTTTGTTGGTTTTTAGTTCTAAATCACAAACCCATCCGTTTTCTGTCCAATTCATCATCACTTTCTTCTTCCATGACCCCAGCTCTTTAACAGACCCCAAAATAGCGACATGCTCTCCATATTCAACTTGATGATCTAGCATAACTTTAAGCTTCACCTTACTATCCGATTCTTTTGATTGCTTTTTCTTTTTCTTTTCTTTCTTTGCTTCTTCTTCCCTAACACCCCACAAAAAATATTTTAAAAGAATATCATTATCCTCAAAAATATAATCTTGACGCCAGAATATATACTAACTACAATGGCAAGGTACAGTCTTTACAACAACTCATTATTTTTCTTTGGTTTGTAGAACTGTTGCACCGTCCATGTTAACATTTCTTTTCTTTGCGCTTCTCTGTTTTATCATTTCGATGAAACCACATAGATATCTACCTATAATTGAAAAAAGAGGAAAAATGAAAAAGAAATATACCTGGTGTCAAAAGATGAAACAGCAGAGACAATCATTTTAGGAGGCCCCCTAACTACAGGGAAAAATCCAGAATTTCGATCGGGGGAAGATATTGATGATTTTTGGTTAAGAAATTTAAATGGCCTTATACCATAATTTTGTGGGCATCTACTATTTGCGGCAGTAACGGCATTACAGTGTAAAAAACGCGTGGAATCCATCAGATGCTAGAAAAATTCTGAGGAAAACAGTAATGAAATTAGTAAGATAAAGATATATGTGAATAAGAGGAAATTTCAATAGTTTTGGAAGTTTGTACAGATCCCATGAGCAATCCTGCTAGATGCAATAATGGAATATTATATGTTTTGTGGAATGTGCAGTGCAGAAGTGTGAATTCAGCTTGATTTGTTAATCCGAGGATACTGTTTCTACTTTCTAGAGCGGAGGGGAAGGGATGGGTGTCTAATTTTCATTGATCCACGAAATTATCTGCAAATGGACAATTTATAGCATAAAAATTGATTCTTTTATTATTTTAGTGTGCAGTGAAGAAAATATCTAAAAAGAAAAAAGTCAAGTCCTTTTGACATACAAGTTTAATAAGAATTATTAATACTATATTCTGAACTTGGGATTAAATCCAAGCCTTTATTCGTTTAATTGATAGAGTGAGATTCGTACTGTAAGTATAACTTTCAATTACTTCATCACTTTATAGAGTTATTTATCTTCAAGCAACTATGACAATTCATTATCAATCATGTCTTTATTGTACATCTAACAAAAAATTATTTCATAAGTTGTCATTATCGTACATTTCAAGCTAGTCAGTTACAAAATAGAAATCCTTGATATACAATTTTGAACCGCATTTTCTCGTGTTTTTCTTCCTAACCTCCATAAGCAACACATCAGTTGATAGCGACCGAGGCAAGATTATCTGAATAACTCTTTTTGCAGCACAATCATTTTCAAATTTAGATTTAAGATAGTCTTATATTGAGAGCAGACCATATGACCTCCAATTATCGAAGTGTATATGATATTTCTGTTGCTATAATATGAAAAATAATAAAAGCGTGAATAAATAGGCAACACATTAACATTTTAAAAATGTGTCGAATAGAAACTTAAAATGTCACATTATGGATAAACAATTTATTTATAATGTATTACATTGCTAGGTCACATGATGATAAGGGGAAAAAAACACATAATAGGGGCCGTTTGCGAGGGTTTTTTTCACCCAAAAATTTGATTTTTGGACCGTTATTTCACTATTCCAGTCGTCATATTTGACTTCTTCTCTCATAGATGGCCTCACTTTCCTCCTAACGATCAAAAAATCAATTCTCAAAATCAATTCCAAACAGGCTCTAGAATTCATATTGTGAGACATAATTCGACAATTTGGTTAAATTGTAACATGTATAATCCAAAATTCCTGAAATCCTACCATATACGAAAGTAAGCATGACGGAATACATTTTATTGCGAGGCATGTTACGACACGATGTGGAAAAAATTTAGGGTTTCAAAGATAGAAATTGATTTTGGGCGAAATTGTATGTACAGATGGAGTACTTGAGCTTGAATGGAGTTATAGAGTTGGGATTTTATTTGATTTCTCACATGGGTTTTCTCCTCGATGGTTTGACTACTTTTGATTTTATTTAAATATTTATAGTCCAATGTTCCTAGATTTGATTGGATGGGAAAGGGTTGAGATTTGAATGACAAGAATCAATGGCTTTTGAAGCATGATCCTTCACTCACAAACACGATCCCGCCTTAGGAAGCAGGAACCTACACCATATTAACTAAATTAACAATTATTTATTTTTCTATAATTTTTAATTTCACATGTCTGATTTTCAAGTTGAAAATGCTATCACGTACACTTTTATATTATTTTTTAAGGAGTCAGCTTGAAATTTTCCATTAATAACAAGGTCATTCGTATTACAAAGTCTGTAATCTATGGAATGAAGATGGGAGTCATAGATATCCATTTGATACTAATAACCTATAATAAATGAATATTCACTACACTCTCTATTAAATGTCTATTAAAAAAAATCTCAGTGAAGGAAATATATTACATAATTCTTATGATATAAACAACTTAAATCAAAATTCATGTAAAAAAGAAAGAAAATTAAAACAATGCTTCCTCCATTAAGGAAAAATAAGTGTTTGGATATTTTGTTAATCACATTACACGACTTGTGTTCGCATGGGATCGTTGATTGCTAGAGTATATTGGCATGTTTAGTCATTGACCTGCATTGTGCACGTATTGTTGGCTGTGGGATGTAACTATGTTACAATGTACTACTTACAATTGTAATCGTTTGATGTAATGTGACATAAACAGTGGATCACGATAGCCAACAAACTGAAAGCAGCTTCCGCTATGTTCGACGACTCTTGCTATGATAGATCGATTATCACGACTCTCGACAAATTAATTTTATGCTTACTTGATCATATTTTTAAGTGCTTATAAGTTACATATCTTATAAAATGTATAGACAATAAGTGGTATTGAGTTGTGGGTCGTACAAAATTTTAGAATAAACTAGTGTGTGTTTATATATTATTGTTTTGACAATTAGAGACGAAGACAGTCATTCAGCTTTAGCCTGCCCTTATTGGCATATGCCCGCTAGCCCTCATAGATTTTCTTAAGGCCGCTCAATAGTTGGAGGATGAAAGTGTTGCTTCTTTTTAGTTTTAGGATGTAATTTATGCTCCATCATAGTTAGAGGTTGAAATTAATTCTTTATCATAATTGGAGGATGAGATTTACGCTTTAACATAGTTGTGGGATGAAATTGATGCTATATCATAGTTAGGGGATGAAGTTGAAGTAGTATTATAGTTAGAGGATAAAATAGACGTTTCTATACAGTTGGACGATGCGACTAAGTTTTATAATAGTTGGAGGATAAATTCGTCGCTGCTTCATAGATTGAGGACGACATTAACGCTTTTACGTTGTTTGTTAATGCAATTGACGTTTCCACATAGTTGGAGGATGAAATTGATTCATTCTCATAATTTGGGGGATGAATTTGAGCTTTCTACATAGTTGGAGGATGATATTGACGCTTCGTAATAGTTGAGGAAAATTCAGCCACCCCATCCCTTCTTCATCTCTCTAGTATCTTCTCTTACACCAAATTCCTTTTCCCCGTAGTGGTCAAGGTGCTACACGTATCCACGTGGGCTGCTCTGTACTTGAGCCCAAGGATCCTTTGTTGTTGTATTCTCTTGCAGTAATAGCAATGGCAGCTTCTTCTTTCTCTGTCTGCTTTTCTCTTAAACCCACCAAGTTTCTTGATTTGCAACAGGGCCGTTCCCATTTCTTTAATCCCGTTAAACCCGTTACAAAAAGAGGATTTTCTTCTTTTCCATTTTTGAAGTCATATAGTATTACTAATAACAATTGTGTTTATAATGAAGATCCAATTTTTATCGACAGTCGGTGTAGGAATAGGAGGCGTTCTCTTTTCATAACTTCAGTGACACCCCAGGAAGATTCTGAACCCCAACAAGTATTCCCTCTCTTCATCTCTCTATTGAATTTCCGTTGGCTTTTGATTTTGACATTTTGTTGGTTTTTTATTTAATTATTGAATTATGCCGTGAATCACTAATAAGAATTAGCTCGAAAAGACAGATTACAAGTAGGAAAGGTTACAGTGAAATGCAGGGCAATGTTCTAATTACTATTAATATTTCAGTATGATGCATCTAAACTCGTTCCGTTCTGTGTTCTCGAAAATATAAATTGTGTTTCTTTGAATAAAGTTGAGAATTTGGAGTTGGCAACGTGAAGGCTACAATCCAAATTGAATTGTTTAATATTTAATTCCAACATTCCATCTTCAAGCGTCCAATCCCACGGTGACAAATGCTGGTTAGGGAAATTGGACTGTACTAATTGAATTTCCATGACAGGCCCTTTTCTTTTGTACCCGAAACTATTATTTGGAATTCCTGTTTTATTCATAGGGTTATTGGATAATAGCTGCTTTTAGGGTTCAATCTCCTGCACGATGAACTGAAATTTCCATGGCAAAATTCTGCAAAATTCTGAAACTACATCTTCTGTAAGTTTAATCAACTGGTCGCTAAATCTAGAGAGTATCCTTTTGCGATGGTGGTCAGGAGAGAAATAAAATATACTGCACTACAAGCTGAAGTCTGTATAATATAAGAAACTTCCAAGTTTTTTTTTTTAGATAAAACCTTCATTCCCTTTTCCCTTTTCATGACCGAGAGAGACTGTTATTTAAAAGTGCAAGTCAGTGTCTGTTGTTTTGACTGTTTGTTTTATGTTTTATATGGATGATTGCTGGTTGCAGAGATTCTAACTCATTGTAAGCTAATCAGTCTGTTGACTGTTTTCACAAGATTCAACTTATTTACTTTTTCACACATGGCCACCCTAATTTGATGGTAAAATGACTCAGTTTTTCACTAATTTTGTTTTTACATCTTTTGGCGTTCATTTAGTGGAATATGCTGTATATACATTGTTTCGAATTGCACCAAAAATATAAAAATGAAATGGAATATCCGTATGATATGAAACTGGAACTTCTACGATCCTTGTTATTGCTATCTGATGATGTCTAAACTGAACTTGTAGACGAACCATGAAGATGGTACTGATTCAAAGGACTACAGCAAATTGGAAGATAAAAATAATTTAAAGCCTCCGTCCAACATGTTGACCCTTATGCAAGTCTATAGGGAAGCAATTTTAAATGGAGATGGCAAGACTTTATCTGATATCGAAGCTGTAATATGCATGGTAGAAAAAGAGAAAAATGAGTTGGTCGAGAAAGTTTCAGATTTGTCTGCAGAGATTTCTTCTGGGAAGGAAAAATACATTCGATTGCAGGCAGATTTTGATAATCACAGAAAAAGATCGGAAAAGGAGAGATTACGGTTAAGGAGTGATGTCCAGGGAGAAGTGATTGAAAGCCTGTTGCCTATGGTTGACAGTTTTGAGAGAGCCAGGCAACAGATCAAACTAGAAACAGAAAAGGAAAAGAAGATCGATACAAGTTACCAGGGTATATACAAGCAATTTGTGGAGATCATGAGGAGCTTGCGCGTGGCTTCTGTTCCCACTGTTGGGAAGCCGTTTGATCCCTCAGTAAGTTCTCTCAGTTACTGACATACATTTACACTCAAACTCGTCACATTTTCTTCTTTTATCTTTTTCCTCTTTCTTATTATTTATTATTTAATATGGGGGTGGTGGTATGATGAATAGTATCCTTCCGCCGTTATGCTATTAATGCTTGCATTATCAACAATTCTTTAAAAAATTTCTGACAGTGCAAATAGTACCACAGGTTTTTAGTACAAGACATCTGGTTATTTAGTTTCTTACAAGTGTGAATTCCACTGAGCTAAATCATTTAACTAGATCGTGTTCATTTGTAGTTGTAGTAATCACCTTAATCTTGGTAGGAAATAATCAAGGTGAATGTAAATACTGGTCTTGTATCCTCCCCGTCGATGCTCTGAAAATTTAGTTCAAGTTTAATGTCTCTCACGGTATGTTTAGTGAGGTGAACTGAAGAGGAATGGACTATATAACAAAGATAAAGAAGTTAAAAATTGTTTAGTCTTATCCAATACCATACACTATACACACACTTAGTGACATACTATCCCTGTGGTTTTGGTTTGAAGCATTGTTACTAAGAACTTGTTTTTGTACAATGCTCATCATATTGTTGAATTTTGTTGTTAAGCTTAAATTGCCATTAGCATTTGCAATTGTCGTAGTCAAGTATTTTTCTTATAGACAACCCAAATTAAGGGTAATTTATTGATGCAAAGAACTATTTTCAAAAATATTCTATAGAGAGAATAATTGATTATAGATAAGAATATTCATTCCTGTAGCTTTTGAATTAATCACAACAACAAATTAAGCCTTGCTCCTTATAAATTTGGGGTTAACTGTTTTTACCACTCCATTGGACTCATTGCTTGATCTATTGAAAGATCTAAACCCTTGTTTGAATCCCATTTTTTTCAAAAATTTATTTTTTCAAAACTCATTTTCAACTGCATATTTTTTAAATAAAATAATTTTACCCGTAAATCAAAAACTTTTTTTTTATTTTTTAACCATACATTCTGCAAAAAAATGCTATTTCAAAATACATTTTTTTCCTCCGACATGAGGCTAAATCAACAAGATCTTTAGCAACTACAATAGACCGTGATAGTTTTTGTGAAACCCTATCTCCGTTTTGACTTGCTTTGCCAGGATCGTGTCTCTCTTATGAATGGAAGTCTCTTTTAAGTCTACATATACCACATCCCAACACCTAAGTCTCCCTACTAGCCTATCGAAGATTTTCCTTTCTTATTTTCTGATGGGAATAGTAGTAATAGCTTTGCATTAGTAACTACATAATACGAACTGTTAAGCACTTTTCCATCCATTACCTGTGAATTATCATGGCTTCATGTGCTTGCAGATCATGAAATAGCCAGCAGAATTCTATAGGATGTTTATTACTATTCCTTGTGAAGTCTACATATACCACATCCCAACACCTAAGTCTCCCTACTAGCCTATCGAAGATTTTCCTTTCTTATTTTCTGATGGGAATAGTAGTAATAGCTTTGCATTAGTAACTACATAATACGAACTGTTAAGCACTTTTCCATCCATTTCCTGTGAATTATCATGGCTTCATGTGCTTGCAGATCATGAAATAGCCAGCAGAATTCTATAGGATGTTTATTACTATTCCTTGTATGCGAACAATGCTCTTCTGCTGTCATACTGTTAAATTTTGTCACTTTAAGATCATAGACATTGTTATGCAAGCATTCCAGCAATAATTTGTATTATGTTCAATTAAATGTAAGAATTTTTTTAAGGGCCTCTTTCACTAATCAAAGTGAAAAACAACCCAGTTACAAAATCTTTTGTTTAAAAGGCACTCTTTCTACCTCAAATATTTAATTTACCCTATAAGAAAACCCATCACCTCATACATCTTCCCCAACCCTGCCCCGGTCCCATCACCTCAGCGTATTGGCCACCCTGCACCTCCTACTTGGGGCTCTCCTGAGTTGCTTCCGAGTTCCTTACTCCAGAGCTACCCAAGAGAGTCTCAAAGTCCCAAGTAAGAACTGAAAAAGGTAAGAAGTGGGTGAGGGGAAGGGCAGTTGCGGCGTGGGGTGGGGTGTATTGAGGGAGAAGAGGACCACGTTGTGAAGAAATGTCCTTTTACGTGAAGTGAGAAAAGAAAGGCCTCTTTTCTTTTCCCTCCCTAACTTGGTCCTCCTTAAGTGGTTTCCTTTCTAAGTTTTGTTTTAAATGATTAAGTCTAATTCGGGTTTTCTGGCCTCGACTAGAACTAGGTGGGGGGTTTTGCATTGGCCCTACCTCATCTATAGATTGAAAATAATGGTACACATGTTCAGAAACTTTTTGTGTTGAACATGCTTTCCATTCAATTGAGAAAGGTTTCATATCACAATTCTGTAGTTGGTTTTATGGATCACGTTTCATGCCTTATATGATTCTCTCGTAAGTCTTAACCATAATTTTGTCCGTCTGATATAGATGCATGAGGCTATTGCTCGTGAGGAGTCACAAGTGTTTAAGGAGGGAATTGTAACGCAAGAACTTCGCAGAGGTTTCTTCCTCGGAGACCGCCTATTAAGACCTGCAATGGTCAAGGTTTCATTGGGACCTGGTAAAAAGAAGCCATCTCCAGTGGTAAAAATATCCACCGATCATCCCGCTTCAGTTGCAGGAGCTGAGGAAAGATAGTCCAGTTACTAGTATTGTTCCTCTGAAATTTTTTGTTGTGCTAGATTTCTTACTATTTGTATGGCAAATGTTTTGGGTTTAAGAATTGACAACCACTTATTTTTTTTAAGAGGATGAGAGAAATATGCAGAAGTCTGGAGAAGAATAACAGAGGTTTCATGTTTGAACATTGTAGACTCGTTTTATCTATCAATCAAATATTGATTAAAATGTTATTAAGCCAACTTGCAAACCCCTACTGCTCAGAAATGAAATGCTTCAGATGTTAATTTTTTAGGCTGTGCATCTGAAAGTACCTACCATTTGTACATAAGATGCCCTATTAAGGTAGGTGAAAATCTTCCTCTTGCCCAAATATGTAGTCTTTCAAGATACTCGAAGGCGAGGCTTTCCCACGCCCCACGGTAATGAAAAAGGTCGGCAAAATGGGCCTCGCTCAACCCTTTCCATGATTAGTGCATCTTGGACCTCCAATTCATTCTTAGGAAGAAAAAGTCCGTTCCTTGCCAACTAAGATATTGAGCAAGGTGTCCCAGACTTTGATCGAAGACCTCATGTTTGTCGGATGGGGGGATTGAATTTGATCCTTGTGGAATAATAGTAAGACAAGAACAGAACTCCCAATAATATCCCACTATTTTCTATTCTCTTCTTTCTGCATCCAGACGAATGGAAATTGAATTCACTTTGGGGGGATGGGACAATCCCTAGTAGCAGTAAGGAGTTGTGGATTATCATTAAGGTCGCTCCTTCTAACAAGCCACAATAGAATAAAGGAAGGAGATAGGTTGAGGAGAGAAGAATTTTTTAAAAAACGTCTAGAAAGACATGATCCCGACTCATGAATTTTTCTGTATTAACACATACCGACGATAATTTGACAACAAAAACATATAACAGTTGCCACTAGAACGTCTATACTGGTATCACCTTAAACTTTTGACCCCCCAAATCTGGAGAAATATTCGTTCTCCAAAGCAGCTCATGGGGCTTATTCTTATTGGAAAATCAGCCCCGGCACAGCTTATACCCCAAGGAAGTCCATGTTTCCAACCGTTAAGCTCCTGTTTGAGCTCTATTTTTTATTAAAATTAATTAATTAAATTTTGCAATAGTATTTTTTGGAAAATATGTAGTTAAAAAATAAATGAAAATTTTAAATTTACGTGTAGAAGAAATAACATACAATTAAAAATGAGTTCGAAAAAAAAATAATTTTTTTAAGATAATGAAGCTCAAACAGGAAAACATATCAACTCACTCAAATTTTGGATTCTGCAGGTTAAGCTCCTTGGAAATTAACTGAGATTGAATGAACAGGAAGCTCTCATTCACTGAAAGACTGACCGATATATTTCACTATTCAATTCCTTTATATTAGAAAAGCACATGCAACGTCCTAATACACGATGTTATGATTCAATTCCTTTATATCAGAAAAGCATATGCAACGTCCTAATACACGATGTTACGATTCACTGCAGTCTCGCAACAATAAAGCCAAAACAAGTTCTATAGTCCCCCCCCCCCCCCCCCCCCCCAAAACCCCCAAACAATAACACAACCAGATCTTCAAATTGAGCTGTTCTTCATGACCTGCAAACAGAAAGAAACATATAAAAGCCATAAGCAACTAGAAGAAAAGGACAAATGGTAAAAAGTGATAACAGTATAGATGCGTGTCCACAAATACACAAACCATAAAAGTGGAAAAAGGAAAATTGTAATATTCGACCATCGTACGACATTGGCACCCTACCCACACTACATTGACCAGGTCGCTGTTGACATCTCATTAAAGCAGGGATACAATAAGCATAATGGAATCAAAAATCTTTGAACAGCTAGAATTTTGTTTTTTATATTATGTAAAACTCTTGATCGAGGTGCCCATATTAATGGGAGTAGGGACACACACTCCGAAATCTCACAATGGTATGTAATCAGGAAAAGCAGAAGAAATCCACACATATTGAGACCAAATATATCCTTGCAAATTTATAAATTACTACAATTTTGTAAACTGATCGGGTGAGAAAGCCAATGCAGACTTGTTGGAAGCTAAAAACCCAAAAAAACAAAACAGATAGAGCACAGGCTGCAGTACATCTGTGTGCAAGTATTATCCAGAAAAATCCATTACATTGCTTCCATATGAAGAGGACTCCCATTAGTCAGATGCAAGGATTTCAAAATTAGTTTTGACTAATATTTTCAGTATCCTAGCCTTTTGACAGAATATGAATCAAATGAACTCAGTTTAAAGTATGAAAAAATGAGTCACGCAGCTCTTGATTTTCTGAAAGTAACATTCGTATATCTATATTTACTAAAGAAACAAATATATTAAACATCAGTTTTTCAATCTTTCTCCCACCTTTGAAACAAAGGGAATCCATCAGAAAGGACCTATGCAACTAATGTAATGTAACAAAGATATCCCCCCACCCCACCCAATCACACACTCACCCAAACAAAACATAAAAATCTTGTTTCCAAACTCACCTTGATCAACATTGCCGTTGACATCTGTCATTTGTGCAACACGCTCTTTTTTCGAAGCTTCATCTTCTTTTGAGACTGGTTCTGCCAGAGAGTACAAAATCAAATGGGAGAACAGTTAGCAACAATCAGATCTACGAATACATGCACAACACAAACTTTAAGAAAGTAAGTTCACCTTTTGTCTTTCGAAGGCTTCTACATCAGTCCTCTCTCTCCAGGTGCTCTTACGAAGTTTGATTGGTCGATTTCCAACATATTTCCCTGACATTATAATGCACCTCATTAAAGATCCAAGTTGAATTTCAATTAATACAATGCTGTCTTCTTTCTAAGCGTAAATCATTATCATAATTGAAGTCCAGTTAAAACAACTTTCCTTTGGAATTAAACAAATTACTCTTTTGCTTTGTTAATCTTCTCTCTCTTATATTCTAACATAGCCTGTCCAATTCCAAATGAACAAGTGTTGATCAATAGCCAAAAAACCAGCATATATCTCTGTTAGTTTCCTCATGCCCATGGACTCTTCAGATTAAGGCCCTTCAAAGAATGGAATGGACAAGGAACTAAACTCCCTTGATAAGTATAGGTAACGCATAAGAGTTAAATTCTAGGTGGCCAGGCTGTCTGAGGTAAGGTATGTTAAACCAGCCATCTAAGTTCTGAAAGCTGATCAGTAAACTGATGCTGATATATTGTTTACAAATTTGTCTTTTTTAACAAACTAATTGAAGATGATGGAGACCAATAGTTGCTAAGCGTTTAAGTTCCTAACAAGCCATGTTTGAAGGTTTTGATTCAGATGGAGAAAGGAGTTCAGTGGCCGCTCTTGTTAAGCATCCCTTGGACGAAAAACAACAAAAGAAAGAAAATTATGAAACAGAGGTTAATGCAAGAAGAAAATAACCATATAAGAATGCGTTCACAAAACCAATTACCATTCATTTCTTTAAGTGCTGCTGCAAGGTCTGAAGGGTTGGAAAAACTAACAAATCCATAGCCCTTGGTTTTGCCAGTCCGCTTATCTCTCACGATCTGGTCCAAGATATTAAGTTCACATTAATTGATTGTGTTCCCTAGAAGCATAAACAAAGCAATAAAATCCCTTCCAAAATGCAAAGGAGAACAAAAGATTCAGCAACTAGAGAAGCACAAAACAAAACAAATCAGAACCTCAAAATTAGAAGAAGACTAAGACAAAGAAAAAGGCAAGGCGGAAGAGGAGGAATAAATTCAAACCCAAGTAAGAAGTTAAAAAAATAACAACCAATTTGGCAGCATCTGCACTTCTAATGCATGGATTGGTGATTAACAAGGATATAAACAGGCAGGAACATAAAATTCCTTCTATTCATTCATTTCTTTATCTACTCTATACAATCAGCCAACAATAGAAATCGAACACTTTCCACTACCTTATGTTTATCCATTTGTTTATCTTTTTGCAGCATTACACATTCAGGAAGAAATCTGTACACTTTCATTGACAAATTACTCCATGTTTCTCAAGATAGTAATCTTTTTTAAAAGGGTATAAGTTGTAGATACACCATTGACGTAAAGTAAGAACTAAAGCAACCTGTAAAATCATACAAACGCACACATAAAACAAGAAAAAGGAAGCAGGATCGATTCAAAGAATGTATTTATTTACTTTTTTTTAGCTCATTCTTCAGCCAAAATTTAGAAAAGGGTCACTCATTCCCATTGGAGAGTATATCAAATTATTTTTTTATCTTTTCCATGGTTTTTCTGTTTACTTTGTGTCAGGATATTTTCATTTCACATGGAGTAATTTGTAAAAAAGAAAAAAGAAAATAATAATAATAATAATAATAATAATAATAATAATAATAATAATAATAATAATAATAATAATAATAATAATAATAATAATAATAATAATAATAATAATAATAATAATAATAATAATAATAATAATAATAATAATAATAATAATAATAATAATAATAATAATAATAATAATAATAATAATAATAATAATAATAATAATAATAATAATAATAATAATAAAATAATAATGTAATACAGCAGACATCGATAGGAAATTCAAACATAACTTTAGAAGATTCCTTCAGATGAAAATGAGCAACCTTGCCTTGTTGATAAATCATAACATATATCAGACATGTTTATAAGGCCTCTTTCCTTAATACAGATTCATTTGAAAGTTTGAAATGAGACTTCGAGGAAGCAATTAAAGAATGAAGCAAGGAGCAAAGAATTGGAAAAGATTTTGTAATCAGTATCATGGTATTGTGACTAAACTCGTGGCGATCTAATTGATAATTAACTCTGAAATGACACAAAGATGCATAACATTTTAAACACACACACATATAGAAGGTAAAAAGTTTTGAGATATCTGAATCTCCATGTTTGGAAGCTAACTAACACAACCACTGTAGGACCAAATATAAATTCACAGAAGCAGTCCACGCTTGGGAAATCGATCAACAGAAGACTTGTATCATTCATATAATTTTTAGAGAAATATGAGAAAAAAAAGCTTGTTGCTCACTTAATTTCAGATCTCAAGCCAAAAGTCACAATCAAACCTTTGTCATTAATATTACCATCAATTTACAATATTGAACCACGAGATGCCTTGACCAAAAATTGGTTACAAGACAGATATATTTTGACGAGAAAATAACAATAATTTTTTTTAATAGAAATCCTACGAAAATCTTCCAAAATGTATAGTTTTTATGATGCTAAAGTGCAGATAAGTAAAAGCATGCATTCAATAATTTACTGCACTTAGTTTTTGCCATTCAAAGACATTATTAATTAATACAAACCAAAAAAGAATTCTACCTTAGCGAATATGACTCAATTGAGGGCTCCATGCACTTCAAATTAACATCTGAAGAGGACATGCAAATGCTCATGTATACCATTCAAAATACATAAAGTGAACACAAATAAGAGATGAAAAACTAACTTCAGGAATAACTTACTCTGGCCATGTTAAAGGAAGGAAATCTTGTGAATGCTTTTGATAGAACATCATCATTCACCTCATTTCCTAGATCACCACAAAAAAGAAGATGGTCATCTGCAATATCAACATATCAAGAAATAAGTGTTGGTACATACTAGATTAACCGCTCAACAGAACCACATAGATTACGCATAATTGGAAAAAGGGAAAAATCAAGATATATATTGATAAAAGAAAGTAAACGGGAAAAGATTATAATTGGCTCCTAGCGATAAATGAAGACCTGAACTGGCAACTAGACACAGTAGGATGGGGGTTATACAACAGCCATGGGTTATAGAAACCCAGTTTTAATCCACGTTAAAGGTTGAGTTCACGTGATCAGATAAGTTCCACAAGAAAATTTGAAGCGAAAGTGTTGACCATATAGAAAACCACCCAACAAAAATCAACATTTTTGTAGCAAGTTGATGCCCATAACCCACACAACATTGCATCTCTAAAGCTTACGGAGAAGGAGAAATACAAATAATACTCAATGGTCACTCTTATCCCTTGCAATTACCAAAATTCCAACACAAATTACAGTTAAAAAAACTAACAATAAATTTACATTAATCTTCTCGATAGTTGCATTGCAAGTAATGTATTATTGGGTCATTCGTGTAAAATTTCCTCTTTTTGGTCTTTCATTACAGATCCTGATTCCCTGAATCTATATTTGAGATCAACCATATATTCTAATTCACCTTAAACGATCTCCATGACAACAGAATCTCAGATAATGTTCCAAAAGAAACAAATTAAATGAATACTACAACATAGGCAAGTAGGAGTAAATAATTCCGAGTTTATGCTTGCTTCCCACACACACATATATATGGTATAAAATCTGTTTTAAAAGTTTCTAAAGATAAATTATCTAAAAATTCTAAGTTTTCTAGATTTTCTTCAATTTTTGGGTCTGGTTCTGATTGTAAGGGTCCACCACGCTTAGCTCGCAACTCTAATGACTCTATAGTATTAATAATACTTGTCTTTTCCAAAAATTATAACATCAGGAGTAATTGTTAAACTTCCATTTCTACTAAGCAAGAATTTTATTCCTATAACAAATTCATCATTTGTCAATGCGCTAACTAATGTAGTCGTTAAACTATACTGTCTTTCTTGGAATTTAATCTTACAATCATCAAAAAGTCTCTCTTCGAATCCCATTTTACTACCATCCATTTGACTTCCTCTTATTTCATATTCTAATTTTTGTCTACAATCTTCTGGCACTAAATCTTTTCTGATTATATTAAATGTACAACCCGTGTCCATTAATGCTATCAAATTTAATTTTATTATTTTATTTATCTGTACTTCTATAAGTATTGATGCTTTTTGTTGTCTTTACTCTAAATATTTGACAAATTATTTTTCCCCGATTTTCTATTTCCAAATAATTATTTTTTCCTTTTATTTCTAGATTTTTGATCCTATATTGTATTTCTCCAAGTGTTTCGTGTATTGCATCTATTCTATTATTTGCATCTATCATTTTATTTTCTATTCTTTCTATACTTTCACTATAATCTTTATTTTTGTTATTTTTTCTTTCTTCCCTAATACCTAAATAATTATTGCATTGAGTTTCTAGACAATTCTTACACTGATTTCTATTTTTGTGTCCTAGGTATATTATTTTACATTTATCCATCATTGATCCCTCTCTTCTAATCCATTCATAGATACATTCTTGTTCTACATTCATCATCTTTATATCTAAAACTGAAAAATCTAGTTGTTCTAAACTATCATAACTGTTTTCAGAATTACTTGTTATTTCTAAATTATCTAACTCTTCATCTGTGTAAATACTATATACTGAGTTACAAGATTCATTATCAGATAATTCTATTATGTTACATTGTATTTCTTTAATTATCATAGATTTAGCTGCATTTTGTTTATTTTTATATTTATTTGGGCATTTGTTAGCAAAATCTCTAAAGTCTCCACAAATATAACATTTACAGTCTTTTTTAGTTTTTGATTTTCTAACATATCTATTATAATTGAGTTTTTTATTTTTATAGTATGTCCTACTTGGTCTAATATTATATTTCTTTTTATTTTGATATTGCTTTATATTTTTGTTTTTTTATCTTTTTTATACAATTTTTTCTTTCTTCTTCTATAATCATATGTCTGTGGTGTATATAAATCTGAGCAAAAAGAGTAATATAATTTCTTTATTTGCTTTCTAACTACTACTTCTACACAATATTCTTTCAATTTATCAATTATAAATTTTATAGTGGCATTTATAGTTATTTCCTTTATTGGGTTTGACTCTACATCTTTTCTAATTTTATTATTCCACAGGTCTACATCTTTTCTAATTTTATCATTCCACAGTGGTGATATCCTTCTATATAATCTTTCAAGTATATGGTAATCTAATGCTAATCTTGTTGCGTTTGCTAATCTTTCAAAATCTAACAAAAATGGTTATATGTATTTCATATTACTAATATTTAATTTTTCTAAATCTTCTAAAACTTTATCTTGTTCGTAAGTGTTATCTCTACTGGGATCAAAACCTATAATTATTTCTCTAATAAAGCTTGTAAAATTTCTAGGATTATCTCCTCCAGTCATTCTTAATCTAATTTTATCTGGTTTTAGTCTTTTTGTTGTAACGTATACATCTAGAGCAGTCTTTCCTAAATAAGTTTCTAAATAAGCCCACATTTCTTCTACAGTCATTTGTATAGATACACTGTTATACGCTCTAATTACAGAATTTTTCCATTTAGTTATAGTAATATGTCTGTCTTGTGGTTTACAATTATTTAACTCTAAAATTAATCCTCTATTGCTTGCTAATGGTAAACTACATCATTCTTCCGTTTGTCTTTTTCCTAAGCTTTTATATGTTTTATCAGTCCATTCAAAGTCTCTTGCAGGAGGAAAAGAATATTTACCTCCTATATCGTATTCTGTATTCATGGATTCTTTTCTTTTTCCAAATTTTTGATCTATTTCCCTTTTAGCTCTCTTGCTATTTTCTTCTATCTTGATTTCTATATCTACTTGATCTTTTTCTATTAATATTTTAGTTTCTATTTCTCTAGTTTTTCTAAGATTTCTGTAATATTCCATATCTATATATCCAAATTCTTTTTCATCGTCCTTGCTTTCATCTTCTTCTCTTCCTTCATCTAAAGCATTAATTTCGTCTTCACTTTTGTACTCTTCTATTTCAAAATATCCACATTCTCCTTCATTTTCTTCTTCATTATGCTGTGTCTGTTCTGCTTGATATTTATAATTTCCAAATCTAATACTTAAAGTTCCATTAATATTTTTGTACATAATATTATTTTCTGGTACTAATATTGATTTTTGTAGAAAATTTCCTAAGTTCCAGTCTAATTTTGTATATGTTTTTGAAGAGAATTTCTTTGTTGGGATAGCATTTATACCTTTTTATCCTAATAATGTAATTATTTGATTATTTTCTAATTTATTACTATTTTCACTAAGTCTTCCTATGAATCCTGTGTAAATTAATAAATTATCCTCATCTCTTTTCATATGATATCCTTTACTTTTTATTCATATTTTAATATCTTTATAGAAATTCTTTGTTCTAACTAAATAGTCTAGTGTAAAATATACTAATCCGCATTTATTATTCATATCTAATTCTATGCTTCCTAATAATCCCTGTTCTATATCAGTAAATCTGCTATCATATAAACATGCTAATACTTTAGCTCCTAAATTTTCTCTATGGAGCCCTTTCTCCTATTATTATTAATACTAAATGAGTCTGTTGAAAATTTTTATTAACGATTTCTTTATAAGATTATTTTTCTATTAAATCTAGAGATACAAATTGATCTTCATGCGTACAGGAAACATATCTTTCTCCAAAATGCTGATATATTAAAGATTTGCTAAATAAATTTCCTTTTTTATATATGTCTAAAGCTTTTACTAACTTCAGTTTATTATGTCTAAATATTTCTATTTGTTCTTCTATATCTATTAAAAATTCTAGTCTTGTTTCGGATTCTGTTTTTTCACTTATTGTTCTTAATAAAGGATTATCTACTATTGGCTACGATTTATTTTCCTTTATCCATTATGTATAGATCCACTTAGTTTTCTTAAATCTACTAGGTTCTTTAGTTTTACCTAAATCTAGTTTTTCCAATTTATTTATTATATTATCTAAATCTTGTCTATTATCTATCGACTTTTCCTTTTCTAATGCTTTAACTATGCTTTCCAATTTTTCTAAGTTAAGATTAGGACTAGATTATGTTTCTCCTATATTATTAGATTTTCATTTTAATATTTCGGTATTTTTATTTTTAATATATTCTAGATTAATTTCTAAAATGTTTATATTTTTATTTATATTTTCTAATAAAATTTCTATTCTTTCATTTGAATTGTTCATTTCTAAATTTTCTCCTAAATTTACAAGTCTACAATACTATTTAACTGTTTATTTTCACTATGTAAAGTATATCTAAACTTATTATTAAAATTACAGATTAGAGAAGCCGCTTCTAAATTATATTTTCTTTTATAGTTTCCTAAAATTTTTAAATTTAAACTCGATTCTTTTCATAAATGATATAATTTTTTACTGTTATAGGCTCTGATGCCAATTCGAGGGGTTCTAGTATAAGAAAAAGAAAAAGTTCTAGTATAAGAAAAACTCTAAAAAAAATTCTTTATAAGAAAAAGTTCTAGTATAAGTAAAAAAATACACACACACACACACACACATCTCTTAACAAAATTGAAAACGTCTTTAATGAAAGTGACAGTCTATAAAATTTACGTAAATCTT